ACGCGTGACTCTTGACTATGTTAAGCATTCAGGGAAAAGGAACCACGTTTTTGTAATAATAGCAGAGTCTCTTTGTAAGAGATCAAAATGTACATAGAATAATCCAAGGATTTGAAATTAAAAATTGAACAAAAGAACCTCCATTAGGTTAAGTGTGAAAAGTGACATTTACACAAACCTTATAATGAGAATATTCTTGGAGTCATCAGCAAGTTGTAAAGGGAGCCGCAGAAATAATTACAACCTCATGTGAGCAGCACACCTGAGGGATAGAGCCCTTTCCTCCTATTTCCTGAATTATCTAAGTGGTGATATTGTATGTTTAGTACATGTCAACAGTATTAAAGAGTTAAACAATATTTGACAGCATGGACACTAGCTACATTAAAAAAAAAAGATATGTGGAACTCTTACTTTTTTGGCAACTTCTACGCGAAACTAAAATTATTTCAAAATAAAAAGTAAAAGCAAAAAATATAGGGATAGTGTTGCTATAAGAAATAATACAAGGCCTAAAATTTGTGTTATTTTCATGAGGCAATCAGAAAGGATAAATGAAACAATCCTTCAAGTTGCCCTGAGTCTGGTTACACTTCTGCTGTCACAGGATGCAGGTGCACACAAGGGGAAAGCTCATGGTCTGCGTTGGATATTCCACTGCCCACCAGATGTTTGGAAAAGTCATTTCAGTACCTCACAGGGTAGTGTCATATGCTTGTTGACTATGGTGTGCTCCATAAATATTCATTATTATTATTTAAAATTTTATGTAGGCCTGGCTGGCATGGCTCAGTGGTTGAGCATGACCTATGAACCAGGAGGCCACAATTTGATTCCTGGTCAGGGCACATGCCTGGGTTGTCGGCTTGATCACCAATGTGGGATGTGCACGAGGCAGCCGATCAATGATTCTCTCTCATCATTGGTGTTTCTCTCACTCCTCTCCCTTTCTCTCTGAAATCAATAAAAATAATTTAAAAATAAATAAATAAAATTTTATATATATAAACTTTATTATTCCTTCATTAAATGGAAGAATATCTCTGAGTTGTGATTAACTATTAGGATTTCTTCACATTTGTAAAATTATCAAATTAATCTTATACTTTCCAGTAGGGACCCAGATTTGACCAACAGATTTATCTCATAATAAATATAGTTATTACACCCTGGAAAGTGCTTCATAATAAAAATATAGCCTAAAAACTATTTTTAAAATCTCCTTAGCCTTTCTAATACAGTTCATTAATTGATTGGTTAACTTGTTACCTTAAAATTAGTTTGGTTAATTCTGAAGTCCTGTCTTTATTTATTAGACCTGTCTAATAAAGTTTGATGGAGACATAAATATATAGTTTAAACAAAGATACTGACATCATACGTAAACTATGACCGATAAAATATATTTCCCCCCGAGACATTAAAAATGAAATAGCTCTTTTGAAGAAAAAACACACACAATTAAGTCAGAAATTTCATGAAATCCAAAAGATGAACCTTGAGAACCCAAAACAAATGTTAATGTCTGACAAAACAAATGCATCTTTTATAAAATTGGATTGATGTGTACTTATAAATTATGCATTGCAAGATGTTTCATTATAAATTTAATGTTTCAAAATCCATTATCATCCCTCTGTCTCCCATCAAGTATAATTGTAGGAAGAAAAATATCATGTTCTTTTCTGTACAACCAAAAAAGCTAATGGGAAAACAAGTACAAGAGCAGCTCACTGCAATCAAGCTTTTCCTCATTAAAACCTCAAGGTACCCCATTTTAACATGGTGGCTAATTTTGTTTCCTGGAAAATGTATTTATAGGCCAGGAATGATTCAAGTGGACAGTTATAAAAAAAAATCAACAGGAGTCGTATGAAAATAATATTCAGTAAGATATCTTTAAAACAGTAAGAAAAGCAGACTTCTCCCCCGACCCCTTCCAAATTTCCATTGTGTTCATCATTCAGCAACATTCTACTCACTTCCGGTGGGTGTGGTCCATGCCACTGTATGGTATTGATTCCAACTCTGCATTTTTCTGCCCACAGATATTTCCATAGCTGTCGTATCCTGACACTAGTCTCGCTGCTGCACCTGTTGCTACTGAAAAGCCACAAATAAATCCCTAGGGAGAAAAACAGAAAAAAAAATCATACAAATAAACCATTTCAATAGCAACAGTCACTACTTGATACGATAATGAGCTTCTTTTGTCTGTTGAAGGAACAAAGAGCTCTTTCCTTGTTGCAAACACTATTCCACTGTTTTCCTAGGATTTCACATAAGCAGCACAAAGTAGTCCCGGGAAACACTGTTTACTAGCATAACAAAAGAAATCTCTAAGCTTTTGCATCATAAGATCGTCTCTGCATTTCATACTAATAATAGCGACCCCTCTGTATTGAACATCTGCTCTATGCCAGGCTCTGTACTGGGTGCTTACCATACATTATCGCTAATCCTCATGATGAGGAAACTGAGGCCCAGAGAGGTTCAATACGTTTTCCAAGGACACAGGACAGAATCAAACCCAGCTTTCTTCTTCTTTCTTTCTTTTTTTTAGTTTTATTTGGTTGTAAAGGAGTCCTATTAAATAAACAATAGCAATGGATGAAAGAAAAAAAACACACAAAGAACAATAGGTCTGCGGGTTTTGAATTAGTATCACTTCAGTGCACACAACTTCTATTTGCTTCCTGCAATAAAGCTGTATATAAGCCAAAGAATTACACCACGAGCACTGCCATGCTCTTAATATTGGAGAATGCAGGAGAGTGAGTCCCGGGTCCGGGTGCCACAAAGGCCACTTCATTTCATGGGAACATGTTTCAGCACAGTGCCAAAGGCAAAGGGCAGATGCCTCAGAGCTGCATTAGGCTTGCTAAGTCGAGTGCATGCTGTTGACCACAAGAGAGCAATAACGCCTGCATAGGCTGCTGGGCGTATAGGCAGTAGAGTGAATCACCATTGATTCACTGAATTGGGAGGGAAGACTGGGGTGAGGATATATTCTTGGTCATTACAAGCTTGAGTTTTTGTTATCTTTATGAAAGTGGCTAATGAAGGCAGAGATGGCCACTGTTTACCCATCATAACCAAGTATCATGAGTAGTACCAAGTAGCCCTGCTAGATCTCGGGCCTCCAGTGGTGCAGTTCCTCAGAGAATAGTATTCCTCTCTTAAACATGCTTCCCAGAAAAGGTGAACAAATTCTTCTTTTCTAAGTAATCTCTATTTTTATCATTTAAGTAAAGAAAGTGAGGCAGAGAGAGTAGAGAGTATAGCTCTAGCTAGTAGAAACTTCTTAAAACTACACTTTGCAAGAAAGTAGACTCAGTAGCGACTATCCCTGATTTGCTATCCTTGCTCTCTGATCCTTGCCAAGTTACTTTAACTCTCTGTGCCTCAATTTACTGACCTGTAAAATGGAGATAATGGTAGCTCATAAGGCTGCTGTAAAGATTAAATGAAATAATCCAGTAAAGTGATAAGGTTTCAATAAATATTAAGAGGTCAATAAATAAGAGATGAATAAATATTAGCTATTATTGTTAGACATGGGAACATGCTGTAATGGAAAGACCATGGGCTTTGGGTCAGATAACCCTGCACTGATCAATTTTCTCCTTGTGTGAACTTGGACAAAATTCAAGAGGTTAATGGCTAAACTCTCCAATAGGGATCTTTAACAAAAAGCATCCCAGAGTAATAGGAAGAGAACCAAAAAGACCTGATACACACCCTCAGTTGGCCACTAACACCTGCGTGACTCTGATCCAATTACCTACTAAGAATGTCTCCTCATCCCTAACACAGAGTACTGAGGCTTCTTACCCGAGGTTTCAGTTACTCATAGTCAACCATGGTCTGAAAATATTAAATGGAAAATTCCAGAAATAAAACCATTCGTACGTTTTAAATTGCATGCTGTTCTGAGTAGCGTGATGAAATCTCACTCCAGACTCCATCCCACCTGGGACGTGAATCATCCTTTTGTCCAGGGTATCCAGGCTGTATGGGCAGTACCTCCCCGTTAGTCACTTAGTAGTTCTCTTGGTTATCAGATCAACTGCTACTGTATCACAGTGCTTGTGCACAAATCACCCTTATTTTGCTTAAGAGTGGCTCCAAAGTATAAGAGTAGCGATGCTGGCAATTCGGATATGCCAGAGAGAAGCCATAAAGTATTTCCTGTAAGTGAAACTGTATGCATATATAGGGAAAAGACCGAGTATAGTTGGGTTCGGTTTTGGTATCCACTGGGTCCTGGTAGGTATCCCTTGTGAATAAGTGGGAGACTATTTGTTGTTGTTGTTAATTCTCACCAGAGGATATTTTTCCCACTGGTTTTAGAGAGTGGAAGGAAGGGGGAAGGGAGAGAAAAAGAGAGAGAGAACATCGATGTGAGAGAGACACAGTGATGGGTTGCCTCCTGCACACACCCCAACCATGGCCGGGGAATCAAACCTGCAACCCAGATATGTGCCCTTGACCAGGAATCGAACCCTGGACTCTGGTGCTCAGGCTGACGCTCCAACCACTGAGCACACTGGCCAGGGCTGGGGAGGGGGGACTATTATAATACCTATTTCACAGCCTAATGATGAGAACTAAAAGTGATAATACATATCTAGGCCTTAACTGGTCTGATACATGGCAGGTAATCAATATATAGTAGCTGTTAGGGGTAAATTTGTGTTAAGTCAGACTAAAGAGGTTGATTAACCAAAAACCCCTTCAGTTCTCTATTTTGGAACGAAAATTTCTTGGGGGATAAAATTGAGAACTATTGTCAGTAATTGTGTTACGACACAAAAATATTCAGACCACAGTTACAATCTTCTTTCAATACTTGTCTAAAATAGCAAAGTCCTTACATCATTAAGGTTATGTTCCTCTTTCACTTTTCATAGGAATTTTCTTCTTGTGCTTGATAAGTACCTAGTGTTGCAGATTCCTTTAAATGATTTCTGATTTTCCGTTCTATTTTTAATAGTACCATTGGACACGTGGGTTTTGTGGGTTTGTGTTTGTTTGTTTTTTAATCAGAGTATAAGTGATAAATGTCACAGATACATGGTAAAATGGGGCACTAACATATTTTCATATCGGCCATGTAGCTCCCAAAAGCATTCGAGTAGAAAGGGTGAGAAGCTTCAGGGGAGGAAGGAAGGAGAGGAGTGAGATAATAAGCTAGAAAGAAACCACAACTGCTATCCCAGGGACTTCCCATATGGTCCAAGCATTGATAATGGGGAACGAGGCCAAATATAATTTAAAAAACAACCTCTTTTAAAAAGAGATCCTGAAATCCACATACGGGAAACAATATAGTTTCAGATGAGAAAAATAATATAGTACATGAAATTAAAACTGTGTGAGCAGCTTTACAGAACACAGTAATTTAATGCCTCCACAGAGGGTGGGGGTGGGGTGGGAGCAAGCATTCAACAGAAGGAAATCACATTCATAAAGCAAATGATAAGAGAGATGAGGAAAGCTTTTATCCTACTACAATCACGGAGAGAAAGTAAGCCTATTAGTAAGGAAGAGAAAACCTTGGCTAACTTCTAAAAGTGACTGAGTTACTGAAGGGCTTTCAGAACTGCTCTTAAGAGAGAGGAGGAGCAGACACATCTAATGACAAACAAGAAGTGACTCAAACCAGATGAAGGCATACAGGGAGAGTACCCTGGGTCTCAGGCAAGATCTGGAGACCAATTTTAATTGCTTAGTAGGAGAAAGACAATTTGCTAGATCATAAACGGTGCTCATCTTCCCTTAATATCTCAAGGTTTAGTTTGACATAAGAGCTTTTGCTTAGTTTCATTCATTATTAGTCAAAACAACAGGCATATTTTATTTCACAAGCATGGAGCCTTTAAGTGCAACGGAAAGGTAGAAAGCCTTAGTTTAGTTTTGAAACAGAAAGACCAACGGAAACAAGGAGTAGAGGGAGTATGAAGTATGAATATGGCAAGATGTTTCAAAATAAAGAGAGAGGAAAAAAGGCTTCTGCTTACAGCCCTTTCCCAGAAATTAAATTATATCCTGGTTCTTCTCTCCACCTCTCCCCAGCCCATTCAAATACTACCTCCTTTAGCGCTATACATCTCTTATCTCAACCAATGTTTAGCATCAGTCTCCTGACAGCCAGTCTGTCAAACCTTGGCGCAATATTTGGCCTGTTGGTCCCGAGAACACTGAGACAAGGGAGACTTTTAGACCCAGCAGACAGGGTGGGATTAGAATGCTCGATGCAGAACTATTGTTCATGCAAACAAACTAAAAAAAGTTGAGTTAAAATCTCTGCCAATCTGCTAGATTTATTTAAAGTTGAGTAGGATGCATTACTTTAAGAGGAGAGTGGAAGACAATAATGATGGGAAGTTAGGAAATATCCACTCAATAAATATTTATTAAGTACACACATACAAATGAAAGATTTCATGCAAGGTACAAAAGGGCTTTAATACAATAAAGCTTACCCGAGAAAAACTGAAATGTCTCAGAAGAAAATAATGGGGTGTGAGGGAGCAAAATCAGGGAAGTCAGTTTTGTGAGCAGCTTAAGCAAAAACAACAACAACAACAAAAACAACACAAAACAAGCAAAGCAGCACAAGGACTACCAGGAACTAAACCCAGCTCTGCTGCAAATGCTCATGATCTAGGGGAAGTCACTTTCAATTCTCTAAGCCTCAGTTTCCTCACCTATAACAATGATTGGACTACATTAATCTCAAAAGCCGTTTACGCTGTCAGAATTTTATGATTCTAAGGGAAAATCGGTACAAAGTAAATGCTTTTCAGGGTATACTTGCAGAGAGAAGTAAGTATAAATCCATTTGGTCCACAACAGTGACTGAGGTGGTAAAAAAAAACAAGAGTAGACTAAAATCAAAATGAATTTAACTAACCTGTATGCTTAAAAATAGTTAAAATGGATTTAACAAAACTGTATACTTTGTTTTTTTAAAATATATTTTATTGATTTTTTACAGAGAGGAAGGGAGAGGGATAGAGAGTTAGAAACATCGATGAGAGAGAAACATCGATCAGCTGCCTCCTGCACACCCCCAACTGGGGATGTGCCTGCAACCAAGGTACATGCCCTTGACCAGAATCGAACCTGGGACCCTTCAGTCCGCAGGCCAATGCTCTATCCACTGAGCCAAACCAGCCAGGACAAAACTGTATACTTTAAAATATACATTATATAAGCCTTGTTATGCATATTTTACCATAATTTGTAAAATGTGTTTTAAAGAAAACAAAGATAAGCCAAAGGATTTAACAGAAGGTAGGTAGTCATCTGGATCAGGTAGTCTTAAGGTAGTTTTCGGCATGCTGTTCTTCCTATTCCATGATCCTGGCAAAGCACAGACCATCACACAGGTGACAAAACACTGCAGTGAGTCTGAGTCTCTCGCTCTGTGCTGCTCTCAACAACAGTCAATGAGGTGGAAACCCTGAGCTATGGGAACTAGACCCAGGCTATAAAACAAAAAGGGTCCTCAAGAGCAGTCTGGAGGAACAAACTCTGCAATGATGTCGCC